GGAAGGCTAAGGAATGCCTCAATTTATTTCCAAGCAGCAGAAATGTCAAAGTGGAGTCTGATATTATTGATGCACTTACTGTTAGACTTCCCAGACTTGGAGTGACTCTCTTACCCATGCAATTCAGGCAAATAAAAGATCCGATGGAGATAATTAAAATGGCAATCACATGCCAAACTGGTGCATATTTACATGTTGATGAACTCATTGAGATTGCTAAACTTCTTGGATTGAGTTCTCCAGACAACATATCTTCTGTTCAGGAAGCGATTGCCAGAGAAGCTGCAGTTGCTGGTGATCTCCAATTGGCCCTTGATCTGTGTCTTGGTTTGGCTAAGAAAGGGCATGGTCACATTTGGGACTTATGTGCTGCAATAGCAAGGGGTCCTGCCCTTGAAAACATGGATATAAATTCTCGAAAGCAGCTATTGGGTTTTGCTTTGAGCAATTGTGATGAGGAATCCGTTAGTGAGTTGCTCCATGCATGGAAAGATCTAGATTTGCAAGGTCAATGTGAGACATTAATGATGTTGACAGGGACTGAATGTCCAGATTTTTCAATTCAAGGCTCCTCGGTTATTACAGGTCCAGTCCATGGTATTCAAGATATAATCAACCTAAAAGGTTGCTTGGAAATGGTTGAAGGAGCTAGTTGTGATGATCAAGAAGTTCATCTTAGTAATATTAAAAATTTACTTTCTATTGTTGCTAAAAATTTGCCTGTTGTGAATGGAACCAGTTGGGAATCTGTTTTGACAGAAAATGGAAAAATTTTGTCTTTTGCTGCCCTTCAACTTCCATGGTTGCTTCAACTAAGTAGGAATACAGAACACAGTAAGAAATCGATTGGTAACTTGATTCCTGGAAAGCAATATGTGAGTGTAAGAACACAAGCTTTAGTGACCATTCTGTCCTGGTTGGCAAGAAATGGTTTTGCTCCTACAGACCATGTGGTTGCGTCTTTGGCAAAATCAATTATTGAACCACCTGTTACCGAAGAGGAAGACATAGTGGGTTGCTCCTTTCTCTTGAATCTGGGGGATGCCTTTAATGGGGTTGAAGTCATTGAAGAGCAGCTTAGAACAAGGAAGGATTACCAAGAAATTTCTAGCATCATGAATGTGGGGATGACTTATAGCTTGTTATATAGTTCAGCAATTGAGTGTGAAGGTCCTATGGAAAGGAGGGAGCTGCTACTGAGGAAGTTTAAAGAAAAGCACATACCACCTAGTACTGGTGTTTTTCTATACTTATTTGCAATCTGCTATGCTATCATTTTACAGCTCTATTAATTACCATATATATGCCAAATATACTTTTTTATCATGTCTTTCACCTTTTTGTTCAACACCTTTTCCATGATATGGTGTTACTTAATGGTTTTCTTATGTTATTTTATTGCTTTCAGATGAAATAAACAAATATGACAAGGTACAGTCTACCTTTTGGAGAGAATGGAAACTGAAATTAGAAGACCAAAAGCGCGTTGCAGATTTCTGTAGAGCATTAGAGAAAATAATCCCCGGCGTTGACACTGCACGCTTTTTGTCTCGGGACTTTAATTACATTGGAAGTGTTGTTTTTCCCCTGATTGATTCAGTTAAGTTAGAGAAGAAGCACATTTTGAAGGACGTTTTAAAATTAGCTGATGATTATGTCTTGAACCGTGCAGAGGTAGGCAGCTTCGTAGTCATATATCTGTGAAAACTTTAATATAGAAGATAAATTTTTTGCCCATTGGGTGATGGTGTTCTACTGTTTCCTTGCAGGTCTTTCTACGTTATCTGAGTTCTGTCCTTGTTTCTGAGGTTTGGACCAATGATGATATTACTTACGAAATTTCAGAATTTAAAGGAGAAATAGTTGGCTATGCTATAGAAACCATCAAAGCTGTCTCCTCCAATGTATACCCTGCAATTGATGGATGCAACAAGATGCGTCTTGCTTACATGTTTGGTCTGCTCTCTGACTGCTACTTGCAACTGGAAGAAAGCAGAAAAGAATTACCAATTATACACCATGATCAAGAGCATCTATCTGGTTTTGGATTATCTCGTTTTTACAAGTTAATGGAGCAAGAGTGCAAAAGAGTTTCGTTTCTTGCGAACCTAAATTTCAAAAATATTGCTGGCTTAGGTGGTTTAAACTTAAAGTGCTTAAGCCATGAAGTCTACATGCACATATATGAAAGTAGCTTGGAAGCCTTGGCAACGATGGTAGAGAGCCTTGCCAGTATATTTTCTGACCCATTGTCGAAGGGTCTCATAACGTGGCAAGATGTCTACAAGCATCATGTTTTGAGTTTGTTGACACCTTTGGAGGCTAAAGCCGGAACTGATTCGATCATCAAAAGCACTGAGGACCTTCAATGCTTCATATGTCAACTTGAGCAGAGCTATGAATATTGCAGAAAGTATATTCTACTCTTGGCGCATGTAGATTCTTTGAACATTATGAAGCGGTATTTCACCATTATTGTACCTCTTTTGGGTTCTTATGGGACTCTACCCGATAACTCATCTTGGCAAGAATGTCTTATAATTCTCTTGAACTTTTGGATAAGATTGATTGATGAGATGAAGGACATTGCATCTCATGAGGAAGCCGGAGAAAATCTCAGGCTGAATCTGGATTGCTTAGCGTGTTGTCTAAAGATTTTCATGAGGTTGGTAATAGAAGACACTGTCTCGCCAAGTCAGGGCTGGGGTACAATTGTCAGCTTTGTCAGTCATGGTTTAATTGGCAACTCTGCTTCTGAACCATATATGTTCTGTAGATCCATGATTTTTTCTGGTTGTGGGTTCGGAGCAGTGGCTGAAGTATTTTCTCAAGCAGTATTAGGGGGTCCCACTGGTTCCACTTTGGCAGGTGACACTGAAGTCCAGGAACTTCCCCTTCTCTACTTAAATATTTTGGAACACATTTTAAAGGAGGTGGTTGTCCGTGAGTGGCAGGACTATGAGAACTTGTATAAGCTTTTATCATCTTTGAGTAAATTAGAAGGTGATCTAGAGGATTTGGATAAGGTCAGGCATTTAGTTTGGGAAAGAATGGCTAAGTTCTCAGATAACCTGCAGCTACCAGGGTCAGTTCGAGTTTATACTTTAGAGCTTATGCAATTCCTCACTGGTAAAAGTATCAAGGGTTTGTCTGCCAGTATACAATCTAGTGTTATGCCGTGGGAAGGATGGGACGAGGTGCATTTTATGAGTAACAAAAGTGAAACTACTGATCGGGGGTTGGTTGATCATAATGATACACCTAACAGGTTTACAAGTACATTAGTTGCTCTCAAATCATCACAGCTTGTGGCAACCATATCACCCACCTTGGAAATTACTTCCGATGACCTCTTGAATCTAGAGACAGCTGTTTCTTGCTTCCTAAAGCTGTGTGATGTTGCTGAATCATATTCCCATGT